AGGCTACATTAATGAATTTTTCTTATTCTGTTATATTAAATTCCACTGGTCTATCTTGCACTTTGAACTGCTCTTTTACCCAGGCACAATTTTATAACACAAGCATTTGTCATCTGGAAAAGAGTGATTCAATAACTTATGCAGATGCTCCAAATTTTGACATGTTTTGTTATATAATGAGGAAAAAAAAATAACACTTTTTAATATCACCTCTAATCTCATGAAAAAATCTTTAACTATTAGGAAGTTGTCAAAGTCATGGAGGTAGCTATAACTTTATCAAAATTCTATTTTTTGCCTGAAAACTCCAATTTTATCAAATACTGTCAGTTTTTTCTTTGAAATGACAGGCTCACTACATTTTTGAGAAAATATCTGCCAAACTCCTAAGCCTGAATAACCAGAGTTTGCCTGTCAGCTGTTCTTTCAAGTAAAACTAGTGTTCTACCAAAATAAAAAAGAATTTTAAAAAATAAAAAAAATTTTTAAAAAGGAGGGGGAAGCTAGTTCAGCTTGCAACTCAAACAGTAGCAGAAGTGCTTTTTGCATACTTCCAATTTCTTCACATAGAATATTAGAAAGACGTGTGACGTGTATTCAAGGATTGAGATTTAATACAGTATTTACTGCCTCATCATGAACATTCTTAAATGAAACTGGTTTGTTTCCTTTTTTTACTGCAAATGCCTGGCAATGTATGATGACTGTACCAACAGTTTTACATACCATCTTTGGCTTTTGCTTTGCACCATCAGTGCAAATGTCAAGCTAGTGAAAGGGGCAAATAACATCTTAGTATTATTATGACCTTGTGGACCCCCTGAAAGGGTCTCTGAGATCCCCCATAGGTTTATAGATGACAATGGGAAAACTGCTGGATTAAACTTTGAATAACAATTCTGGGAATTCAAGGGGATGGCATGGCTTTCCAACATCAGTGGGCACTACCTAGTAAACATATAAAGAAATAAGTATTTCATCCCTGTCTTAGAAGAGCAATTGAAATAACTCTATGGGGATAAAGATTAAAATTAAAGGCAGATCCAACCAATGAGTCTCTTGATTTGAGGAGGTGGGGG